CACACACACACATACACACCCGCCTTCATGAATGTTTCCAGGGGCTAGTGCAGATGTGGATTTTGTTTTTCAGTATTTGAATTTTCGCCAGCAAATATTTTAAGTACCTAGAATTCTTAGTTTTACAATATTTCAATAGTGAAAACGCAATTGCTGTCTCAGACTGACCAATGCTCACGGAGTGCAGAATGTATCCCACGGGGAAGCAGGTTTACCTAGGAAGACCTGTGATCAGATGTACAGTTCACCCTGCAGAGGGAAGGAGACAGTGCGAAGACTGAAGACTGGGAAAGGCCGGAACTACTACAGAGGGCTGGGGGTCAGAGTCAAGGGCATGACCCTGGGGTTTAAGTTAAGGAAGACAGATGGAAGAGGGTGGCTCAGTGTGAGAGCACGGGTAGGAAAGTGAAGTCACAGGGCAGCTCTCAGGCTCTGACCTGGAGACTGTGGGGACAGTGACCTGGAGATTGTGGGGACAGTGATGTGTTTACAGTTTGAGGACCACGAGTCAAAGAGCAGATTGCTGCAGAAAGAGATGAGTGGATGTTGGACATGCTGACTTTAAGGCACTGTTTTCTTGTTTTTCCTCCCTTTTCCTGAATCTTTTAGGACTTTGGTTTTCATAATAAAACAGTAATCCGGATACTAATTGCCAGAAGTGAAATAGACCTGCTGACCATAAGGAAATGCTACAAAGAGAGATATGGAAAATCCCTATTTCATGATATCAAAGTAAGTCTCCTACTTTTTGAAACTGAGATAAAAGCTTTCATTTAAATAATTTCATTTACAGTCTAAAACATTAACTCTTCTGATGGGATTAACTGCTTTCACACTTCAGACAACCTTTAATACATGAAATGAACAGGTTGGAAAGAAAATCCCTTTACCAGACAGAAGATTTTTTGTCTTTATTTTAAGCAAAATCATTGACACCGTCATGTAAAATATTCATCCCCTGTAATTATGCTGCAAGAGCTAAATTCTGAGGTATGCTCAGATCTAGAAAAATGTAGCTTGCAGCAAGACCCCATAATCCTGAAGAAGATTCTTATTTCGTTATCATGGAAGGCAGGGCAGCCAGTCAAGTACCATCAACTGTGATCAGGAGGAATTTAACATTACTTGTTATGTGAAAATCTACACAGCTTTATCCTTTTAACCTTTAGAAAGTAAAGAAACCATGATTCAGAAGTAAACAAGCAATTGCTTCATTCTGATCCTTCTGAACTTTACCCTAGGTTTTTTTTGTAAAACCTAGCAAAGAATCATCAGAGTATGTGAGACCCTCTATCTAATTTTCAGAGTGGGGGTGGGGGGCTGTGAAAAATAAAATGCTTGGCCCTTTCTTCAAACAAAAATCACAAAGACTTTCAAGATGGTAGAGCAGAGAATTAGACCTAGGACAGGGTACTGAGAATCTATCTTCATTTATATTTTGTACATAGATAAGCACTGTTATCTGGCTCACGGTGTTTGCCACTGAAATTTCTAATACTAAGAAACAACTTTTTAGTTTACTGACAGAGTAAACCAGAAACAACTCAACAACCCAAGATCAAGAAACCACAAATTTAGAAGATCTTATAAGCCCTTGAGAGCCAAAGTGGTTCTAGAAGTTGATGGGACAATTAAAAGAAATCTTATTCCTCTATCTTTGATAAAACTCTCATTATATCCACCTTCAAAATGCTAAACTCTTTCAGTGATGATAAACATTTCCCACTGAGAAATACATATCATTCATTTTCTAGATGAATAAACTATATCTTATACACTTCTTATAATTCATCACAGCCATCTTGAAGTCTACTAGTATTTATGATAATTAATGCGACTTTACTAGGTGCATATAAAGCAGTGAATCATAAAGACACAGTTTTACATAAAAGAACATTAATAGTTGATTTTTAACAAAGTTTAGTTTTATAATATTACTTTTTTTTGTTTTGTTTTGGAAAATTTGGAAACTATGAAAAAAACAAAAAGAAAACAAAAATGCCCTAAATTCTCTGCCACAGATAATCTATAATAAAATATTGTGGCAGGTGCTTCTGTGGTCAGAATTCTTGTGTCTCCTCCATAGGTGTTAGGAGGTTGAGTATTTGAGAGTTGATTAAATAGTAAGAGTAAGCCCAGGGATGGGATTAGTGTCCTTATACAATAGACACAGTGGAGCGCCTCTGTCCCTTCTTCCATGGGAGGTCAGAAAGAGAAGAAGGCTGTCTATGAGAAGCAGGCAGACACCAAATCTCCTGGCACCTAGACTTGAATTTCCCTGCCTCCAGGACTGTAAGAAATAAATAGCGATTTGCTACCAAAAGGGGATATTTTTATTGAATCATGGTATCCTGGTGTATAAACTGTAAAATACAAAAACTACCTTGCATATTATACATATTATTTTTCTGTTTTCACTAGTATATATAATAGTATCTTGATTATAGTCTTAAATCTCTGTGTTCATTGATAACTGATAATAGATTCCTAAAGATATAAGTTAAAATTACAGCATTCATGAGTATAAATATTTTTAAATCTTTTGAAACTCATTATCCATTCGCTCTCCAGACTCTATACTGATCTATAATAATAACAATATCAGGGCACCTCTTTCTAAAGTTGAAGAAAAGATTTCATTTTAATGTAAGTTTATTGTACTTACAAATACACATTAGGGCTCCACTGTCTTCATATAAGCCACATACTATTGACTATAACCATGTTATAATTTTTCAATACCTTTAACTGAGAATAGTTCTCAGAAAATATTGAATCTTTAGATTAAAAGAATAAATAATTTTAGAAAGACTGGTGGTCCATGGGTCTCTCATACTGCAATGCAGAAGAATAATGGGTCTTTTTTAGAACAACTATGAGATTTCATTTTATATACATTATGTGTTTTTCTTTACAGAATTTTGCTTCAGGCCACTATGAAAAAGCACTACTTGCTATCTGTGCTGGTGACATGGATGACTACTAAAATAAAGAGAAGGAAGAAAAGGAATCGAAGGGCTATGCATCCCCTTTCATGCGCACATCAAAGGACAGACTTTCTGCTAAATTCATTATTATTAGCACGATAACAAAACTATAGAATCATATTTCTTTTCTATCTTTAAAATTATTCCAAGACAAAAAAAAATCTACTACTGGAAATATATAATCCTGGATTTGCATCTGTATCAATCAACAATTCAGTAAATTATGCATGATGGAATAAGAAAAAGCATGCTATTGGAAAATTTTATTTAAGGGTGAACTGTCAAAACCCTACAAGAATGTCAGCTCAAGATTGTCTTTGGCATGTTTGGAGAGATTAATGAAAATTCAGTATGTCCTCACTGTCCTTAGAGAAATTTTCTAGAATCTTGTACAAATGCAATAAAGCTAAAATGAGCACCTAAAGCAGGCTGTAAAAGAAAAATAAAGATATAAAACAGTAAAATTCACCAAGATACATGCTTATCTGGTTTAGATGCGCAAAAAACTTATATGTAGACTTACATGCAAATAGTGTGTTAGGGAGGGGGCTGAGTGTGTGTATGTGTGTGTGTGTGTGTGTGTGTGTGTGTGTGTGTGAATATTTAGTTGTATTTGCAGATACTCTGATAAAGGCAATTTATCTCTAGCTATTTTTTTTACATTTTTGAATCAGTACTTAATCAACTATTTGCCCAAGCAATGCCAGAAAAGGTGGTTCACTGTCTTTATTCCTTAACATCAAAGACTTTTAGAAATTACTACATGCTCTATGCTATCAATGCAGCCTAATTCCTTTTGTCTCTCATGATACAGTAAATTAGGAGTAAAAAGGAGACAATACTCACTGATATCAGCTACTGGGAGGACCTCACTGATATGGCAGTCTTGCCAAGAATGAAAGCGGAGGCAGGTACATCTACCACAGAGGACTCCCAGTGCAAACAAAGTAAACCCCAAATCCAATACCAGAAAGCAGAGGTAGTGAAGTAGGTGAGGTAATGAATCTAGATGAACCTGTGGGGACAACAGAAGTTATTCCTCTGCATGGAACCATTTTCAATAGCCTATGGCTCAGACCCCGTGGATCGGCTTCTGCTGGTCTCAGGGGGAAGAAGTACCTGGCAACTGATAGGGGATGAAATGGGACATTGAAAAAAAAAAAAGGTACAACATGAAAAAAATTAAGAATAATTAGATCTGTGAGATCACTGTCCAGATTTTAATTTAATACTATGGTAAAAGTATGATGTCATTTTAAATTGGGCTTGATTTCTCTTTTTTAAAAAATCATGATCAGAATTTCAAGCCTCATACAATAATTGTTGAAGGTATTTAGCACACCTATTACTTTTGTCAACTAAAAACCATAAAGAAAAAAATGTTAGAATTCTTTTTTAGAATTTAGATATTAAAAAAAAAATTGAGGCTGGAGTTGTGGCTCAGAGGTAGAATTCTCGCCTAGCATGCCTGAGGCACAGGGTTCGATCCTCAGAACCACATAAATATAAAGCATAAAGATATTGTGTCCTCCTATAACTCAAAAATAAATATTTTTAAAATTCCTCACTATGGTATCTTTCTGTAAGTAGTTATGAAATCTCTACATTGGCTAGATACTACATTTTCTTCCTTAGGTACAACATGCTGTTTTCAAATCAAAAGCAAATCCTAAATTGGGTCTCAGAAGGAGACATTATTCATAAAGACTATGGCAATAGGTGCACAGGGGCCGCTGGGACGAGAGAGGGGGCTGACTGCGATAGGAAAGGGGGCTACTGTGACAGAGAGGAAACTCTGACCAGGAGATGTACAGGGACCTCGAAGATCAGTCAGAAAAGGGATTTTTTTCTGATTATAGGGAGGAATAAATAAAGTCAGAAAGAATCAGGTATGAGAGAGTAAGATAAATACAAAGTATGATTAAATTGTCTATCTGGGAATGGCTTTGATTGATACTCTTCGTGACAGCTGATCTATACGTGGACAGTTGATCAGGAAAATTGATCAGAGAATGCCACCAGGCAGATTTCAGGAGTCAGAGCTAAGGAGTAGCTATTCATCAGAGGCTCAGTCTGAAGGTGAGTCAAATTCGGGAAACTCTAGGGAGGGAAGAAGCCTCACTAAAATGTGGTGAAGTCCAGTTGTCTAGAAGGCTGGGTGGTGGGGGCGGGTGTTGATCAGTTAACTTATGAAACAAAGAATGGGAATTTGGGAGGTATATCAAGGATTAGCTTAGGAAAACAAAAAAGAGTCTTGAATTTTATCTAAGTCATCTGAGAATGAGTGAGCGTCACAGAGCCCTTCATAAGTCATTTCCTGAAATACAAAAGGACACTACAGTAAAGTTTAATATCGTCAGCATCTTCCGTTTTCCCAAGCATTTGTGTTGAATGCCTCATTTAGTTGTTTAAATGCTGACAGAACATTATTTTTTTAATCGTCACATAAATCACTTAGTGAAATTCTGTGAAAAATTTAGTGTTTGAATTATCCTCATTGGTATTTATTTATTCTTAAGTGATGCTACATTGGTTATATGATCTTCAAATGCAGAAAAGTTTTCTGGATCTGAAACCGAATAGCAAATATAAAGTTTCTGATTAAGCTAAAAGCATCTCCCGTATTTAGCTTGATGAATAATAATAATAATAATAATAATAATAATAATAATAATAATAATGCAATAGCTAAGAGAATAAAATTGTTTCTGCTGTGCACCCAACCTAAAGAAAAGGAAATAGTAAACACCCATTGAAATTCTGGCTGATCCAGAAACACAATGAAACCAAATATAGAAAGAGGAGAAGTGATCATGCCCTTTGCATGCAATATTACACTATAGTTTAAGTATAAATTGATTAACAGAGAGGCTAATCATTAGACTGAAAAACACAACTTTGAGTACTAGCACATTAATATCATCAGACTTAAATATTCCACCCATTAAAACATGTGTCACATCATGAAAATAGCAGAGCAGGCAGATGCAAGATGTTTTGCAGAAACATCCCCAAAAAGTGAAACAAAAACTAATACAATCAACTTGTCAGACTCCCCCCCCCGCCCCCCCGCCCAAAAAAAAGTCAAAGTGTTAACTCTGAGTGAATAGGGTTGGTGTTTTAGTCAGCTTGTTCACTGCTATAGCTAAAAGACCAGACAAGAACAGTTTTAAGCAGGGAAAGTTTATTTGGGGACTCACAATTTCAGAGATCTCAGTCTATAGACAGCTGGCTCCATTCCTCAGGGCTTGAGGTGAGGCCGAACATCAATCATGGCAGGAGAGTGTGGCAGGGAGAACCAGCTTACATGATGATCAGGAAGCAGAGAGAGAGATCTCCACTCACCAAATACAAAATATATACCCCAACACCATGCCCCCAATGACCCTCCTCCTCTACTCACACCCTGCCCACCTTCAGTTACCACCCAGTTAATCCCATGAGGGGATGATTTTACTGACTGGGTTAAAGCTCTCACACCCCAATCATTTCCCTTCTGAATGTTCTTGCTTTTTCTCACATGTGAGCTGTTGGGGGACATCTCCTATCTATCCCATAACAGTAGGAAAACGGTAGCATTATATTTTCCCTTCCCCTACTCTCCCTCCCAGCTCAGTGGCAGTCTTCAAGACAGTAGCCTGTGTTTCCAGGATGGGACTTTGGTCCCATTGCTATGGAATGTGTCTAAACAGCATTCCATTGTCTATTATGTATTTTCATTTGTCAATAGACACCTAGCTTGATTTGCTATCTTGGCTCTTATGAATAATGCTGCAGAAAACATGAGTGCAAATGTCTCTTTGATTGAATTACTTCAATCCTTTGAATATACACAATACTAGGATTGCTGGATCATGTTAGTTCTATTTCTAGTTTTTTGAAAATTTTCCAAACTGGTTTCCATACTGGTTGTACTGGTTTACATTTTCACCAACAATGTATGAGAGTTCCCAACTCCCTTCATCCTCTCTAGTACTTGCTATTTTTTTTAATTTTTTCAATATAGCCACCCTAACTGGCATGAGATAACATCTCATTGTGGATTTGATTTACATTTCCTTCATTATTAGTGATACTGAGTATTTTTTCATATACCCATTACCAATTTGTATATCTCCTTTTGAAAAATGTCTATTCAGATCTTTTTCCAATTTTTTGGAAGTCAGATTACTTGGGGATTTTCTTGTTTTGCTTTGTTTAAAGTTCCTTTTATATTGTGGATATTGATCTCTTGTTAGATGAAGAATTTGCCAATATTTTCTCCGATTCTGTTGATTATTTCTTTCTTATACAGAACTTTAGAGTTTGACTTTAATAAAATTTCCTTTGTCACATTTTGCTTTTGTTGTTTTCACAGTCATATCTTAAAAATAAATCTTTGCCCAGACCAATGCAGGCACTTGCAATACTTCCTGTGGGCTTACTGTGAAGAGTCCCAGAATGGTAGAAAACAGATGTCCACCTCAAACTCACTTATTCCAGCATAGAAACTATTTGAGTTCAGAGAATTATTCCATGTGTAGCACCCGCCCACTTGGGAAAGACATGTGTGGTTTAAAGAGATCTGTTTCCCTTATTGTCTGCTCATGTATTTTCTTTTCTGAGGTAAAAGAGATCATTACAGCCTCCAATACCGACTTCTGTGACAGAAATTCTGAGTGAAAGCATTACTACTGGATAGTTGGTTTTCTGTAGAGGGAAAATGAATCCAAATAGCTCCTACTTTATCCTTTTGCGAATATCCTACGCCTAACCTCACTCTTTAGAAATCATTTCTGATTAGTCCTTTTGCCTTTTTAAAATTTACTTTTTAATTTGTTGTTTTTAGATTTACATTACAGCAGAATGTATTTGATTAATTTTTGCTAAAAATCAAAAGGGAAACTGCCCCATTGGACCCATTTCAAGGAGGTTAGGCATAGTTCCCATCTTTCAAGAAGATTTCAGCTGAAAAAAAAATAACATTATTCATTTTCTAAAAAGTAGGAAGCTAGATTGACTTAGTCATGTGGGAAAAAAAATCTTCATGTCTCAATTAGCCTCATAACTACAAGTAGGGAGGACAGTGTGACAATATGTTAATATTGTACATCACTGTTTTGAATTCACATTAAGAGTCAGCAAAAACCACCTTATTTTCTAAGGGTCTTGGTGCTTAGAAATTGTTGTAGTGCTTCTTTTAAATAATGAAAATGGATTTAGCCCAACGAAAGCAAAACCTTCTAACATGGCACATGAAATGATGTGCCAGATCCAGGGAGTCAAGCATTATCCTATCTTCAGAAAAATGTGACACAGGTGTTTCCCAAAGCCAGTGTAAAGTATTTATAAATAATGTCATGCAAAAGAGCAGAATTCAGTAAAACATTGAGGTGGCAGGAGAGAATAGACTTTTTGTTCTATGTTCAAGTTAACAGTCTAGAC